CGGGTTTGTTATGGTGTCTGACACTCTGCTACCACTAGCCCTCCACCACTGGGTCACGGGTTTGTTATGGTGTCTGACACTCTGCTACCACTAGCCCTTCACCAATGGGTCGCGGGTTTGTTATGGTGTCTGACACTCTGCTACCACTAGCCCTTCACCAATGGGTCGCGGGTTTGTTATGGTGTCGGACACTCTGCTACCACTAGCCCTCCACCACTGGGTCGTGGGTTTGTTATGGTGTCTGACACTCTGATACCACTAGCCCTTCACCAATGGGTCGCGGGGTTGTTATGGTGTCTGACATTCTGCTACCACTAGCCCTTCACCAATGGGTCACGGGTTAGATGCCTACGTGAGGCAGTCATCAGGTACTGGCCATAGGTCAGTGGTTTTTCTCCGGGAACTCTAGCTTTCATCCACTACCAAAACTTGGCAGGTCCTTAAATGACCATAGCTGTTAACAGGACGTAAAACACAAACAAACCAAAACTATTAACGTTTTACATTCTTCTAACATGCTCAGATATATTCACTGCTGTTTGAGCATGATATCCTAAACAATTGTTTCATTAGGATATCAATATCCTTTTGATGTAGTCTACAACAGCCTTTTACATTCCTCTAAGACAATCAGATAATTGCTGTGAATATGACACTACAAAATTACACTATCTCTTCGTTGACAGAAATCTATAATTATTGTCAAATATCACTAAATGATTACGAGGAATCTTTTCCAATAGATTCACAAGTAACTACTCATTTTGCAGACAAAGTTGTAAAACCTGAGCTGTTTCTGGTAAGATTTATGTAGAAGTCTATTCATCATGCACTGCTGGGTGTACTGGTATCAGACTCACCAGTATCTACTAGTACAGGGTGGTACCAAACTATAGAATACTGCTGGGTGTACTGGTATCAGACTCACCAGTATCTACTAGTACAGGGTGGTACCAAACTATAGAATACTGCTGGGTGTACTGGTATCAGACTCACCAGTATCTACTAGTACAGGGTGGTACCAAACTATAGAATACTGCTGGGTGTACTGGTATCAGACTCACCAGTATCTACTAGTACAGGGTGGTACCAAACTATAGAATACTGCTGGGTGTACTGGTATCAGACTCACCAGTATATACTAGTACAGGGTGGTACCAAACTATAGAATACTGCTGGGTGTACTGGTATCAGACTCACCAGTATATACTAGTACAGGGTGGTACCAAACTATAGAATACTGCTGGGTGTACTGGTATCAGACTCACCAGTATATACTAGTACAGGGTGGTACCAAACTATAGAATACTGCTGGGTGTACTGGTATCAGACTCACCAGTATATACTAGTACAGGGTGGTACCAAACTATAGAATACTGCTGGGTGTACTGGTATCAGACTCACCAGTATATACTAGTACAGGGTGGTACCAAACTATAGAATACTGCTGGGTGTACTGGTATCAGACTCACCAGTATATACTAGTACAGGGTGGTACCAAACTATAGAATACTGCTGGGTGTACTGGTATCAGACTCACCAGTATATACTAGTACAGGGT